CCACCACAATTACAGGACATTTTGAGAGATGCTCATAGTCCCCTGGAACTAGTCGACCTAGAAGGGCAAGGAGCAAAAACTGTTATGTCCCTCTGACCAAATTAGTATAGGCCTCAAAATATGTCTGTTAAACATCCAAGAAAGTTCCACCAGTCTGGTAGTTTTCATTACTGTGTGCCATGTAGTATTTCTTAATGCTGCTTGGTATTTAACTCAGGACCTTGTGCATGCTAAGCATGTGCTCTACCACTGAACACACTATTGATTTACTTATATTGTAATAGGAAAGGTCAAAGGAATATTCACTGTCTGAAAATATAATTCATGTATTACCTGCATAAAAGTTCCACCAGTCTGGTAGTTTTCATTACTGTGTGCCATGTAGTATTTCTTAATGCTGCTTGGTATTTAACTCAGGACCTTGTGCATGCTAAGCATGTGCTCTACCACTGAACACACTATTGATTTACTTATATTGTAATAGGAAAGGTCAAAGGAATATTCACTGTCTGAAAATATAATTCATGTATTACCTGCATAAAGTTAACAATATTTTATATTTCCAGGGCTGGAGAGATGGCTCAGCAGCTAAGAGTACTGACTGCTCTTGCAGAGGACCTGGGTTCGATTCCTAGCACCCACACCCACATGGCTGCTATGAACCATCCTTAACTCCAGTTCCAGGGAAATCCGAAACCTTCTTCTGACCTCTGTGGCATTGCATGACACAGGTGCACTCACATACATGCAGGCAATACACTCATACACATACAAGCCGGGCATGGTGGCACATGCCTTTAATCCCAGCACTTGGGAGGCAGAGGCAGGTGGATCTCTGTGAGTTCAAGGCCAGCCTGGTCTACATAGTGAGTTCCAGGACAGCTGGGGCTATAGGGAGACCCTGTCTCAAAAAGAAAAAAAAAAAAAACAAAAAATTAAAAAAAAAAAAAAAAGAATACCTGGAATTTCTGGATTTTGGTTTTTTTGTTTGAGACAGGGTCTCCCTTTAGCACCAGCTGACCTGGAACTTGCTATGTAGACAAGGCTGGCCTCAATCTCAAAGAGATCTGCCTTCCTCTGCCTCCTGAGTGCTGGGACTTGAGCTTGTGCTACCAGGAATGGCTTAAAGAAATGTTTTAGGAAAGTTAATCTGAGGATATGAAAGAACACTATAAAGAATAGATTCCAGGAACCAATGACAAGATCTTGCCAAGGAAGAGGCTCATCCAAAGCTAATGATGTTTGAAAATGCCATCATTTATGGCTCAGTGGGGCCCAGCACTTGCCATGCAAGCCTAACAACCCAAGCTGGATCTCTGGAAACTACGGTAGAAGGAAAGAACCTCCTGAAAGTTGTCCTCTGACCTCCATATGTGTACCATGGCACATACACACCCACATTCACACGTGTGTGTGCACGCAAGCACTAATGAAATACTTTTAAAAAAATATTTCAGCCGGGCGTGGTGGCGCACACCTGTAGTCCCAGCACTTGGGAGGCAGAGGCAGGCAGATCTCTGTGAGTTCAAGGCCAGCCTGGTCTACATAGTGAGTTCCAGGACAGCTGGGGCTACAGGGAGACCCTGCTTCAAAAAGACAAAAAAAAAAAAAAATTATTATTTTTATTTTATGTGTTTTGCCTGCATGTGTAAAGTGCACCCATGTCATGCAATGCCCAAGGAGGTCAGAAGGGGGCATCAGATTCCCCTAGAACTGGAGTTACCAATGGTATGTTAGCTGCCATGTGGGTGCTAGAATCAAACCTGGGTCCTCTGCAAGAGCAGCCAGTTCTCTTAACTGCTGAGCAGTTAACTCTCTAGCCCCTGAAATAGGTTTTAAATGCCATTAACAAAGTCAAACATTTTGTATACCTATTTTGTGTATTATTATTTATTTATTTATTTAATTTATTTATTATTTATTTATTTATTTATTTGAGATAAGGTCTCCCTGTAGCCCCAGCTGGCCTGAAATTCCCAGCCGGCTTCGATATCACAGAGATCCTCTTGCCTCTGCCTCCTGAGGGTTGGGGTTAAAGGCATGTGCCACCACACCTGGCTGTATGCTAACTTTTTAAAAATATTTTATTTTTTAAAATTTTATGTGTATGACTATATTGCCTGCATGTATGTGAGTGCACCTATGTTGTGCAATGCCTCGGAGGTCAGAAGAGGGCTTTGGATTCCCCTGGAACTGGAGTTAAGGACAGTTCATAGCCATCATGTGGGTGCTGGGAATCGAACCCAGGTCCTCTGCAAGAGCAGTCAGTGCTTCCAACTGCTGAGCCATCTCTCCAGTCCCGCTAATTTACTTTTTTAATAAAAGATTAATTGAGCCAGACATGGTGGTACATGCCTTTAATCCCAGTACTCAGGAGGCAGAAGCAGGTGGAACTCTGTGCATTCAAGGCCAGCATGTTCTATATAGTGAGTTCCAGGCCAGCTGGAGCTACAGGGAGACCTTCTCTCAAAAAGAGCCCCCCCCCAAAAAAAATAACTGAATGATTCTTTCAACTACCTTAAATAGTTTCTGGAAAATATGAAGTAGTTCAATAACCCTGAGTATTACATTTAAGGATATGCATGATAGCTAGCTTTAGTTACCTTGTTCAAAGATGTTTAGAGCCTCTTAGTACCTCTATAATGAATGCTGAATTCCTGAGGCTAATACCTCAGACTGATCAGTCAAGATTCAGATCTTCCTTTTCGTTGTTGATCTTTGCATGTGTACATGTGGTGTATGTGCATATAATGTGTGCTCATGTATGTGTGGTTAAAATGCTACATTTTCTGTTACATGTATTTTACTACAATTAAAAGAAAAAAATAGAGCCTGGTATGGTGGGTATTTAATCCCAATACTCAGTAGGCAGAGGCTAGTGGATTTCTGTGAAATTGAGGTCAGCCTGGTCTACATCGAAAGTTCCAGGCCAGCTAGAGGTACAGGAAGACCCTCTCTCAAAGAAACAGAAACAAACAAACAAAAAATAGTAAGAGCTCCCCTTGGGAGGCAGAGGCAGGAGGATCTCTGTGAGTTCAAGGCCAGCCTGGTCTACATAGTGCCAGGACAGCTGGGGCTACAGGAAGACCCTGTCTCAAAAAAGACCAAAAAAAAAAAAAAAAATTGTAAGAGCTCTTGCCTAGCATCATGTGGCCCTAGGTTCCAACCACAGCACCATGACAACAGAACTTTAAAATTTAAAAAAAGACGGCTAGGAGAGATGGCTCAGCAGTTAAGAACATTGACTGCTCTTGCAGAGAACCCAGGTTTGAATCCCAGCACCCACATGGTTGCTAACAACACTCTGTAACTCCAGTTCCAGGGGATCTGGCACCCTCTTCTGTCCTCTACCAGCACTGCATGACACAGGTATACTTGCACACATGTAGGCAGTACACTCATACACATAAAATTAAAAAAAAAATAAAGAGCCAGGCGTGGTGGTACATGCCTTTAGTCCCAGCACTTGGGAGGTAGAGGCAGGCAGATCTCTGTGAGTTCGAGGCCAGCCAGATCTATATAGTGAGTTCCAGGCCAGCTGGGGCTATAGGGAGACTCTGTCTCAAAGACACCAAAATGAAAGAAAAGAAAAAAGAAAAGAGAGAAGGAAAGAGCCTGGTTTACCTTATAAAAACAATGTGGCAGGTTCACACTAACAACTCAGCACACAGAAAGCTGAGACACAGGGCTCCAAGTTCCAAACTGGGCAGCATGGGAAGACTCTCAGAAAAAAAAAAGCACCAACAAAAAACCCACTGTGATCAAAAATAAATAAGTAATGTAATTAATTAAAAATAAAAGCGCACTGTGACTCACATACAGCCTTCCCAGGTCTTTCTGAACCGCTGCTCTGAGCAGAGTTCCTCTCTTCACAGCTCACGTGGACTGTGATCATTCAGAACTTCCAGTTGTAACTGCTGCTCACATCTTACCTCCTGTTCAGTTTGGTTGCAGGCTCTTTAATAGTGCTCAACACCTCCTGTTAAGTGACAGGCTCAGAGGCAAAAATTAAAGTTCAAAAGAAATGAGGAACCACAGTAATAGTATTAATGTGAGAAATGTTTATTTTCTAAAAGATCACACAAAAGTTGGCGGAAAGGTCAACTACTTTACATGAAAATCTGGACAAAGAGCTGCCTAAAGAGCCTAGCTGGAGCAAACCGCAGGTGACCACCAGCCAACAGAAACAACAGCCCAGGTCAGCCATACCGGGGTCACCACCTAGGTTTCACAGGACCTACAGCGCTGATGCCCTGCGCATCCCTCCTTCCCAGGAATGAAGAAGCAGAAGCTCACTCTTTAGACATGTTCTTGATGGTCTTGTGCTCCTTCATGGCTTTCTCCCAGTCACTGCCATTGAATTCCTCAGTGACCACACTCCGCACAGTGCCTTCATCCAGGCAGTGGGGGGCGATTCCTAGGAGCAAGTGAAACAAAGAGAGGGGTTCCAAGTGTGGGTAACACTTTTAGAGACTGTATCAGATGAGCCCCCTCCTGCAGCACTATCTTCCTACACATCCGGTTTCTGGGTGGCACACTCCAGCTTTGCAACTCAGCTTGCGAGAATGATGTGCAGCCTGCTGCTGTACTAAGAAGGTCCTGTCTGCAACTACAACTTAAGCCTCTGGTTCAGGGCCCTCAACTGCCACAGGGAGATCAGAGTTCCTGAATGAGCATCAGCCAATGCTGGACAGCATTCAAAACCAAGTTGAGGCCTGGGGATATAGCTCAGGGGTCGAGTACTTGCCTAGTATGTGCAAGGCCCTATGTTCAAAAAAAAAACTAAATACCAAGCTGAAAGTAGAAAGTAACAGGCTCAGGCCTGGTAGTCTCCTGAGTGGCAGCCTGAAGAATTCTCAGGCCTTTCCTGGGTTCAGATAGATTAACCAAAAATCAAACATCTCCCAGTTTACCCAGGACATTATACCTCTAAAACCCTTTCCTGGACAGGCATTGTGGCACATGCCTTAATATCAACCCTCAGGTGACAGAGGGAGGAGACCTGCCATGAGTTCACGGTCAGCCTGGGCTACATAGTAAAACAGTGTCGATTAGATAGATGATAGGTAGGTAGGTAGGTAGGTAGATAGATGATAGATAGATAGATAGATAGATAGATAGATGATAGATAGATAGATAGATGATAGATAGACTAGACAGATGATAGGTAGGTAGGTAGATAGATTAGATAGATGATAGATAGATAGATGATAGATAGACTAGATAGACAGATAGGTAGGTAGGTAGATTAGATAGATGATTGATAGATAGATAGATAGATAGATAGAGATAGATAGATGATAGATGATGATAGATAGATAGATAGATAGATAGATAGATAGATGATAGATAAACAAACAATGAAAACCCCTTTCCTGTTACAAGGTAGCCAGGACATGGCACATGAGAAACCACCAGCACCTGCTAAAAGCAGGTCACGCCCTGTCCTCTCCACACCGGCATGGTCATAGCTACACCCACAGCTCCAGAGGCTGTGTTTACACAGTTGACATCAGCCTCTAGTTTCCCCTCATTTCGCATTGCAATTAATATTATTCTGAGAAACTGTGACTGTGTTATGGTTGGTTTTATCCACCCTACCTCCCACATCCAAGCAACACCTGAAGAGGGCTTTAGAGGTTCTCTTGCTTCTTTCTTGAACACACTAACTGTTTTTGTTTTTGTTTTTTATTTTTTGAAACAGGGTCTCCTTGTAGCCTTAGCTGGCCTGTAACTCCTTGTAGCCAGGCTGGCCTCGATCTCAGAGATCCACTGCCTCTGCCTCCCAAGTGCTGGGATTAAAGGTGTACGCCGCAACACCTGGCAACCAAGTTTAAAAATTTTTAACTATGTATTTATTTGGGGGCAGTGTGATGAGGATGGTGCATGTCAGGCAAGTACTCTACCACTGAGCTACAACCACCTTCCTTCTTCCTTCCTTTTCTTTATAAACGGTATTAGCAGCAGTCCTCATTCTCGCCTCTTCATTCCCTAGGCCCACTTCCCACCCATCTTCTCTACCTTTCAGGGTCTCCCCACAGCTCTATGGCACCAGTAAACCTATGGATGGACTCTGACAAAGATTTTATACCATATGCCTCAGACACTTAACCAGAGACGATCTTATCACAGGAAAAGAGCTTTGTTGTCTAACAATGCCTATGGAAGCACCTAGCCTAGCAGGAGGCACGCCAAACATGCCAGTGTCCACCTCGGGCAGCACTCAAACCCGAGCACCCCAGACCCCTCAGTGTCCTGAGCTCACAGTCTTACTCCCGTTACTCACCAAAGCCTCCAGGGTTGGAGCGCGGCGTGTAGAAGCTCTGGACACCGCATTTCTTACAGAAGGTGTGCTGAGCTTTATGCGTGTTGAACGTGTAGGTCGTTAAGCTCTCTGCACCCTAGGTAAGCACAAACAAGTGAACTTTCTCTTCTTAAGAGATTTTGCTTGTTTTGTTTTTTTGACAGTGTCTTATTATGTAGCCCTGGATGGCCTGGAACTCATTATATAGACCAGCTGGCCTCAAACTCAGAGATCTGCTTGCCTCTGCTGTCCTGAGTGCTGGGAGGACATGAGCCACCACACTCAGAAATTATTTTTTTTAGTCTTTTTGAGACAGGGTCTCCCTGTAGCTCCAGCTGACCTGGAACTTGCTATGTAGACCAGGCTGGCCTCAAGCTTAAAGGCATGCACCACCATGCCCAGCCAGAAATATTTTTTAATATTAAAAAATATCTTTTGAAAAGATTAATGGGGGTGTCCTTTTGTAGGTTTCTCAGGATTATGGGAGCAGGTCCCATTTCTAGAAGAGCTGGAAGCTTCTTGGGGTCAGGGACCCATCTGCATTTCCCCAGACACACATCAGTCTGGAGCAATCCATGGATCCTCTTATGTCAACTGCACACTAAACCACTCAGCCTCAAGCCTTCAATGATGTACACCAAGACAGAACACTCTATCAAAGTCAGGGGGTGTGTGTGCCTGCTTCCAAGTGCCATTCACCTAAGAGACTAGCATTCCGTGTCCCCAAACAGTATTGATCAAGTTTGCTAGGACATTACCAACTGTACTTGAATTATCTATAAAGAACAAACTAGAAGAAACTCTTTGCCACACATCATAGACAAAAGGCTAATTTCCTTAATGGATAATACAAATCAGAGAATGGGCAAAAGACACTGGTGGATCGTACAGAGAAAGAAAAGACAATTTCTCCTTAACCTATAAAATGATGTTCACTGATGAACTACATACTTTTCTATTAGGTGAAAAAGATAAAGTATCACAAAGGTATGTGGCTGGAGAGATGGCTCAGTAGTCAGAGGACCTGGGTTCAGCGTGCAGCATTCACATCAGGTGGCTCACAAATACTTTTAACTCCAGCTCCAAGGAATCCCTCTTCTGTCCTCTGCAGGTACCAACATAAATGTGCATATACACTCACACAGACACACACATAAGCACATTTATGAAATTTTTTGAAAACTGATAGATGAGGGGCTGGAGAGATGGCTCAATGGTTAAGAGCACTGGCTGCTCTTGCAGAAGACTCAGGTTTGGTTCCCAGCACCCACATGGTGTGGCTAACAGCCATCTGTAACTCCAGTTCTCAGGGATCTGATGCTCTCTTCTGGCTCTATAGGCATTGCACAACATGGGTGCACTTACATACATGCCAGCAATACACTATTACACATAAAATAAAAATAATAAAATACTTAAAAAAAATAAAAGTGGCTGGGAGTGGTGGCACACACCTTTAATCCCAGCACTCAGGAGGCAGAGGGCAGGCAGATGTCTGTGAGTTCAAGGCCAGCCTGGTCTCCATAGCGAATCCAGGCCAGCTGGGGCTACACTGAGACTCTGTCTCAAAAAGACCAAAAAAGAAAAAGAAAAAAAAAAAGTGGCAGGTAAGATTTCTCATCACTATTATACATTTTCATATTTCTTCCATACTTTCTCAGACTGCTACACACCATCCACCACTACAAGAAAAGAAGACCCTCAATGGTTTCCTATAGTTTTAAGTTTGTTTTTGTTTTAAGTGAGACAGACTGAGAAACAGACTCACTTTATTGCCCAGAATGGTCTTTAACACCTAGGCTCTAGTGATCTTCCTGCCTCAGCTTCCTCAGTAATTGGCACCACATGTGCATACTACTAAGAGCTTCCTATAAAAATAGCTCCGCAAGGGGCCTGCTCTCACTCTGTAACTTGGATGCAACAGAATTACCAAGAAATCAGGAGATGCCACACACTCTACCTCATTTATTACTAGAAGTCACCCAGTGACACCCAGATCCTCCTATACTCTATGCATCCCAACTTCATCCCGTGTTCCTGCTCCTCAATCTACTGGCAATTTTTTTTTTTTTTTAATTGCAGTCCTAGAGATGGAACTTAGAGCCTCACTCATGCTAGGCAAGTGCTTTATCACTGAGCTACAGTCCCAGCTGGCCACTTCTCTTTTTGCTTTTTAATTTTATTATTAGTGTTGGTGTGTGTATGATGGGGGAGGCATGTGTTATGGTACATGTGTAGTGAAAAGACAACTTTCAGCAGTCAGCTCTCTCCTTATTGTTGGCTTGTGGCCATTTCTTTTGACCACTAGGGTCTTCTGAATTTGAATGCCCTGTAACATCCCTCCCATTTTGTTTTTTAGGATTTTTTTAAACTTTCTTGTATTTTTTAAAAAATTTTATTTTTATTTTATGTGTATGCATGTATTGCCTGCATATAGGTAAGTGGACCTGTGTCGTGCAATGCCCATGGAGGACAGAAGAGGCTGTCAGATCCCCTGGAACTGTAGTTACAGACAGCTGTTAGCTGCCATGTGGATGCTGGGATTTGAACCTGGGTCTTCTGCAAGAACAACCAGTGTTCTTAACCACTGAGCCATCTCTCCAGCCCCTTTATTTTTTTTTATGTGTATGCGTATATTGCCTACATGTATGTAAGTGCACCTGTGTCATGCAATGTCCGCAAAGATCAGAAGAGAGCATTGGATCCCCTGGAACTGGAGTTATAGACAGTTCTTAGCTGCCATGTGGGTACTGGGATTGGAACCCAGGTCTTCTGCAAGAACAGCCAGTGTTCTTAACTGCTAAGCCATCTCTCCAGCCCATGTATTTTATTTTTTATGTATATAAGTGTTTTGCCCACCTTTATGTAAGTGTACCTATGTGTGCAGTGTCCAAGGAGGCCAGAAGAGGGGACTGGATACCCTGGAACTGGAGTTATGGACAGTTGTTAGCTTCTTGTGGGTGCTAGGAACTGAACCTGGGTCCTCTGCAAGAACAGTGCTCTTAACCACTGAGCCACCTCTCTAGCTTTATTTTTAACATTTTATTATTTTTTTGTGTATTGCTTGCATGTATGTGAGTGCACCTATGTCGTGCAATGCCATGGAGGTCAGAAGAGGGCTTTGGATTCCCCTGGAACTGGAGTTAAGGACAGTTCGTAGTCACCATATGGGTGCTGGGACTCGAACCCAGGTCCTCTGCAAGAGCAGTCAGTGCACTTAACTGCTGAGCCATCTCTCCAGCCCCTTATTTTATTTTTAATTATGTGGTAGTGTCTGTGTGTCTGTGTATGGGTATGTGCATGTGAATGCAGGTGCCTACAGAGGCCAGAAGTGTCAGAACACCTAGAGCTGGAGTTACAGCCAATGTGAGCTGCCCAATGTGGGTGCTGGGAACTGAATTCACGTCCTCTGCAGTTCCTTCCATTTTAAAGCTTTGCCACTGAAGACACTATATTCCCGTTTTTCTGTTTTACCACTGGTCATCCTTTTTGGACTGTTTGCGTCCCTTCCTCCTCTGTTCAGGTCTGTACACACAATGGCAGGTCTAGAACTGTCCTCAGCTTTTTCCTTGCTCTGGCTACCTCTACCCAGTTGACCTTCCATGCTCCTCAGACCTAAATAACACCAGTGTGCCAACAACTCCCAAGTGCATAGTTCTACCTCTGTTATCTCCAGACAGATCCAGTTCCCCACTTCCCATCTTTATGAACATTCAAGACACCTTCAGTGAATTTATTCAAAACAAAACCCTTGGTCCTAGTACCAAGCCACCCACACCTGCGTGTCTGACAGGAGCTGGCACCTCTATTCAACTAGGTGCTTAGACCCTCTCTCTTTTTCTCATCTTCACATCTAATCCTCTCATGGTTCTCCAAGTGTGGTCCTCAGACCAGCAGCCTTAGCACCACTTGGAGATCTGTAAAAATGAAATTCATGGATCCATGTGAGACCTACAGAATCGGGATTACAGGCCTTCAGTCTGTGTTAATGTTTGTGCATCCAGGCTCAGGAACACGTTACCTTTATAAAAAAAAAAAAAAAAAAAAAAAAGTGTGTGTGTGTGTGTGTGTGTGTGTGTGTGTGTAAGTCAGTGGCCAACCTGCAGGAGTCAGGGTCTCTCCTTCTGCCATGTGGGTCTTGGGGCTCACTCTGGTAGTTAGGTGTCTTCACGCAATGAGCCATTTTGTGAGTCCCAGTTATCTATTCTTTTTCTGTTCCAATCCAAGCTCTACTACTTCTCACCTGACCCACCCTCATAACCTCCTGCTTCCCGCCTCCACTTCCCTCTTCCTAACCTACAGTGGCCCAAGGGAGCTAGGAAGGGTCCAGTTGGATATTATCACACACTGCTTAAAACCCTCCATCAGCCCCACACCACACAAAGCATAGAAAGCTGCCTGTTCATCAGATACTGCTTCTTTCTCTTCAACTCCACCCCAGGTCACTTCTACCCACTTGCCCCAACAGCCACAATGGCCAGGGTTCAGCTCCCCAACACACCAAACTCATGCCCCATAAGCTTGTCCCCTTTACCCAGGACACTCTTCCTGCCCACAGCTCCACTGTGCTTAGCATTCTGACTGGAACATTGGAGGAACCACCACCCCCACCACAGCTTCCCAATAACTTTTCATAGCACGTACACTCTTGGATTTCTTTCTTATCTGACTCTCCACCTACAGAATGTTAGCAATGGGAGAACAGGCGCTTTGCCTGTCCCTGTCCCACTAGTTAATGCTTCAGTGAAACAGTTGCCTGGCACACAATACTTGCCTCATAAACACTTGAATGTGCTTTGTATTTAAACAAAAGAAATTGCTCCTTTAATGAGGTGAGGTCAAAAACTAGAACTGTGCCCAGCGGCACAAAGAAAAATGTGGACAAGAACCTAGGAAGGAAGAAAACACAAGCAATTCTTGACCCACGCTGAGGGCTGCACCTGGAAGTGTCTTCAGGAGCTGCCAGTCCCAGGAACTTAAGAACAAGGTTGAGGATGGACTGCAGTCTCCAGCAGGGTGAAGGGCGCCTGTTAGTGCTCCTATGGCTTATAGGAAAGATGAGGCACAGGTGTGCTGCTTACCTGGCATACCACATTACCACAGACACTCACACCAAGCCCAGTGCTATTAAGGACCAAAGGGGGCAGACAAAGGAGACAAAGCTGGGAACAGTGTCCAGAAACCTGCCAAAAGTCTGCTCATCATTAAACCCCTCCAGGCCAGGAGTCAGCTCAGGCATGGAAACAGGCGGAACTTTCCTCAGACACACCCCCAAGTTCATAGCAAAGGAGAGGAATATTTGTGCAAAACCCTTGTACAGGTTCACAAAGTCTGTGAGACCTCAATGGAAAGTGGAGGAAAGGCAGACAGAATTAAAGCCCTCCTCACCCCACATTATCTAGACTGTGCAAAGACTTTTTTTAAAAAGTTTGTATTTTCGGCCAGGTGTGGTGGCTCATGCCTTTAATCCCAGCACTCGGGAGACAGAGGCAGACGTATCTCTGTGAGCTCAAGGCCAGCCTGGTCTACATAGTAAGTTCCAGGACAGCTGGGGCTACAGGGAGATCCTGTCTCAAAAATTTTCCAACGCAGAGATTTTATTTCTAAGATTTGATCCTAAACAAATAAAAAAAAACCTTCCTAAATTGTCAAAGACTCATACACAAGCAAGTTCATCACAATGTCATTTTTTTTTTTAAGTCTTTTTGAGACTAGCTGGCCTGGAACTCCCTATGTAGACCAGGCTGGCCTCCATCTCAGAGCCATCTGCTTGCCTCTGCCTCCTGAGTCCCAAGAATAAAGGTGTGTGCCACCACGCCCGGTATCACAATGTCATTTATAAATTGGGGAAAAAAACCCACTGGACTCAACCCAGAAACTCACTACTGCAAACATAAGAATGAAGGACTAGGTCAACCAGGAGACTGACTATGAAGGAAGAGAAGTGATCTGTATCAAGCACAAAAAACTCCTGAAATAATAAAATTAAACAAAACAGCTGGAAATGTAGCCCAGTGGCACAGTTCTTATCTAGCATATACGAGGCCCTGGGTTCAACTCTAACATTGCAGAAAAAAAAATAAAGACCAGCTGGGCATGGGGGCGCATGCCTTTAATCCTAGCACTCGGGAGGCAGAGGCAGGTGGATCTCTGTGAGTTCAAGGCCAGCCTGGTCTACATAGTGAGTTCCAGGACAGCTGGGGCTACAGGGAGACCGTCTCAAAAAGACCAAAAAATAAAAATAAAATAAAAAAAAATAAAGACCATGTAAGTTTTCACTAGGAAATGATAGTGTGTAGACTACTTATTTCCTTTTTTTTTTTCCTTTTTTGAGACAGGATTTAGCTATGTTGCCCAAATTAGGTTATAGCATACTTTAATTAAAAAATATATATATATATGACAAAGAGCGGGCATGGTGGTACACACCTTTAATCCCAGCACTCAGGAGGCAGAGGCAGGTGGATCTCTGATGGAGGCCAGCCTGGTCTACATAGGGAGTTCCAGGCCAGACAGGGCTACATGGAGACCCTGTCTCCAAAACAAAACAGACAAAAAAATCAAACAAAAAATATGACAATAAAGCACCTGTAGTTACAGCTGCTCAGGAGGCTGAGGCTGATGGGTCCCTTGAGACCACAATTCCAGGAGCCAGGCTGGGCAACACAGCAACAACCCACATTAAGAAAAAAAAAAAAAAAAAAATGAGGCTGTCAAGATGGCTCAAAGGATAAAAGTGTTTGCCATGCAAGCCTGATGACCTAAGTTCAGTCCCTGGAACCAACATGATAAAGGAAAACTGACTCCTGTAAATTGACCTCTGACCTCCACACATGCACTTTGGCATGCATCCCCATACATATCATATTACATATCACATACCCATACACATGCCCATACATATCACATATACATTTTTTTAATTTTAAAAGAAACAGCCGGGCGTGGTGGCACACGCCTTTAATCCCAGCACTTGGGAGGCAGAGGCAGAAGGATCTCTGTGAGTTCAAGGCCAGCCTGGTCTACATAGTGAGTTCCAGGACAGCTGGGGCTACAGAGAGACCCTATCTCAAAAAGACCAAAAAAAAAAAAAGAGACAACAACATACTTACATGTATTTATCTATATAGAAATAATATACACAAAGGCCAGGGATGTAGTTCAGTTAGTAAACTGCTTACCTAGAAAGCAAGAAGCCCTGGGTTCAACCCCAGCACCTCATAAACTGGGCATGGTGGCATACATCTGTAATTCTAGCACTCAGGAAGTAAAGGCAGGAGGACCAGGAGTTCAAGGATATCCCTAGTTAATGAGTTCAAGGCCAGCCTACGATACATGAGCCCAAGTCTCAAAAGAAGAAAAAAAAGATGTATATCAAAATATTAGTAGTGATTACCTTTGAATACTTTTACTTTATGTTTTCCAGGAGAAACACAGGTTATTCAGGTTCCAAAATACTTTATTAATTTATTTTTGGTTGTTTGAATTAGAAAACATTAGCACAATACTATCATATATGCTTTCAAAAACAAAGGGACCAAGTGTGGTGGTGCAGGCCTTTAATCCCAGCATTTGGGAGGTAGGCAGGAAGATCTATTAGTCTACACAGTGAGTAGCCAGCTGGGGCTACAGGGAGACCCTGTCAAAAAAAGGGGGGCGGCACTCAAAGTCCTTAAAAGGTCCTGCTATGCTCTCTGCCCTCATACTCTGCAGAGAACAAGCTAAGAAGAAGGGGTAGGGGTTCATGAATCCTTATACAGGGATTCCACCCTCCCTGACCCTGCTCATAAGCACTAACCTTCAGGAGCTTGAAGCGAGAAGCTGGAACGATGAAGTGTCTATTCTGCTTCTTCTTGCAAATGCTACAGCTACAGAAAGAGAGATTCCAGATTGTGAGCAGCCATCCACATTGTCCACATGCCCCAGCAGCCCTGCCCCATGCCTGAAGAAGCAGCTGACCTCAAATGGGTCACCCCTTTCAGCACCATCCAGGGACAGGGAAGCTGGAGGCAGCAGGACAGGCCACCTAGAATCTCTGCTCTTTCTGGCAGTAAAGCCTGCTGGTGACAGATCAGCAGGGAAGGCCACCCAGCACCCAATAATCCAGGACCTTATTTCTGCTGGCCCCCAACCCCTGGCCCCAGAAGAGAAACACTGAACTTAAAAGACACTTAGACAGCTAGGGCTACAGGGAGACCCTGTCTCAAAAAGACAAAAAAAACAAAAAAACAAAAACCACACACTTAGAATCACTGGGTGTAGTGGCACACACCTTTAATCTGAGCACTTGGGAGGCAAAGGCAGGCAGATCTCTGGGAGGTCAAGGCCAGCCTGGTCTACATAGTGAGTTCCAAGCCAGCTGGGACAATAGGGAGACCCTGTCTCAAAAAGACCAAAAAAGGAGACCAAAAAAAGAAAAAAAAGACACTTAAAAAACAAATTTCAGGGCTGGAGACATGGCTTAGCAGTTAAGAGTCCTGGCTGCTCTTGCAGAGAACCCAGGTTCAATTCCCAGCACCCACATGGCAGCTAACAACTGTCCATAACTCCAGTTCCAGGGGATCCAACACCCTCTTCTGACCTCTGCAGGCATTGCATGACATGGGTGCACTTATACACATGCAAGCAATATACTCATACACATAAAAACAAAACAAAAAAAACAAAAACAGAAACAAATTTCAGACCCTGCTACAATCTCATGCCTCTTAAGCTATCTATACCAAAAATGGACAAGAAACCTCAGGTCTCCATCTCCACATCAGAAATTCAAGCACCAAGCATTTTATCCAGAAGTACCAATTTGGAAATTGAATCAAAATCTGTTCCTCTCAGCCTGCCATTTCTATGTTTTTTGTTTCTCTGTGCTGGGATTAGTAAACCCACCACACATAGTAAACAGGCATTCTATCACTAAGCTATACCTCAAGCCCTTCAATCTACCTCTTAAAATAAATTTAATTTTTTAAAATTTTTATTTATTATTTTTATTTTATGTGTATGAGTGTATTGCCCACGTGTGTGTAAGTGTACCAGTGTCATGCAATGTCTGTAGTCAGATGACAGCAATGATCTCCCAGAACTGGAATCATGGAGGGTTGTTAGTTGTCATGTGGTTGTGCAATGCCCGCGGAGGTCAGAAGAGGCTGTTGGATCCCTTGGAACTGGAGTTACGGACAGTTGTTAGCTGCCATGTGGATGCTAGGATTCGAACCCCGTTCTTCTGCAAGAACAACCAGTGTTCTGAACCGCTGAGCCATCTCTGCAGCCCTTTAATCTTATTTTTATTTTTGAGATATGGTCTCATGTTACCTAAGCTGGTCACAAACTCTATGTAGCTGAGGATGACCTTGAACTTCTGATCCTCTTGTCTCCACTTTCCCTGGAATTACAGATGTGTGACACTATGTCAACATTATACAATGCTGGGGATTGAGCCAGGGGCTTTGTGTGTATGTATTCTAGGCAAGTACTCTACTAACTGAGCTCCATTCCCAAGCCCAATTCACCTTTTAAAAAGTCATGGCTTAGTAGAGGATCCTCTAACAAATTATGCCATGCTGCTGCTTTCCAAATCTGGACTCTACTGTCAGTAGCCTAGTCAGCTTTCCATTTGAGTAAAACCATAGTGTCTAATATTCAGAAAAAATTCAGGTACCACTAGAGGCAAAAAAATTACTTTCTGAGTAATTAAGTACATGTCAACAGCTATCTATAAAGCAAAGGCCTGTTGTCCTTCCTCTATTATAATGCCAGGGAACCTGCAGGCTTTCCAGGGCTGGAGATGGCTCAGCAGTTAAGGGCACTGGCTGCTCTTGCAAAGGACCAGGGATCAGTTTCCAGCCGCATCCACTTGGCACCTAACAACCATCGATGCAACCAATCAGTTCCAGGAGATCTGACACCCTCTCTGGCTTCTAAGGGCATTGTACAACATGGGTGCATTAACAATCATGCAGGCAAAACACTCATATACATAAAATAAAAATAAATAATATTCTTTGTAAAAAAAAAAAAAAAGCAGTCCTGGGGCTGGAGAGATGGCTCAGTGGTTAAGAGCACTGGCTGCTCTTACAAAGTACCTGGCTTTAGTTCCCAGCACCCACATGGCAGCTAACAACCATCCTCTGATCAACACCCTCTTCTGACCTCTGAAAGCACTACATGACACAGGTACACTTACAAACATGCAGGCAGTACACTCATACACATAAAATCAAAATAAATTTTTTTTAGAAAAAGTGGGCCTTTCACTGAGCCTGGTAGAACCATCTGCCTCATCCCAAGAACAGAGAGAGTACGTACACGAGAAGCTTCTGGGTATGCACACCCTCTACTCGTTTACTTCCATCTAGCTTTACTGATAGACTCCTAAGAAGATTTTGGTGCACGCCTTTATCCCAGCACTCAGGAGGCAGAGGCAGGTGGATCTCTGTGAGTTCGAGTCCAGCCTGGTCTACATAGCAAGTTCCAGGACAGCTGGGGCTACAGGGAGACCCTGTCTCAAAAAGACCACTGGCACCCAAACACACAGACTACAGGCTGTTATTCTGACCAAATCAGAATTTCTAGCTTTCCCCAATCTTTAAAAAAAAAAAAATTAGACATGTCACATGACTCAGCAGGTAAGGGCACCTGTCACCAAGCCTGTTGAGTTTGATTCCCCAGGACCCACATGGTGGCAAGAGATCTATTTAACATTGTCCTCTGATCTACACAGGCACATTCACACACACACACACACACACACACACACACACACACACACACACACACACACACACACACTCACACTCATACTCTGAATAAATAAAATGTAATAAAAAGTTTAAGCCAGGATGTAGTGGCATACGCCTTTAATCCTTTAATCCCAGCACTCGGGAGGCAGAGGCAGGTGGATCTCTGTTGAGTTCAAGACCAGCCTGATCTACATAGTAAATTCTAAGCCAGCTGGGGCTACAGGGAGACCCTGTCTCAAAAAGACAACAATAACAAATAGTAATAAAAAATTTAAATTATCATTGGGAAAATATCAAGTCACATACAAGGCAAAAGAACAGAAGAATGAGCCATTTATGTCCCCAGCACCTGACTTCAACAGTTATCAGCTCCTGGTCAACACTGTTTCTCCTATACCCCAACTCCCCTAGATTATTCTGAAGCATGCCTTTTTATGCTTCAAGTCTTCTAAGCCAATTTAGGAAGAGAAAATACTCACTTGCAGTCAAAGATGTGTAAGTCTGCTGAAGCCCAGACTTCAAAACGAACTGCTCCACAATGGCAGCCCCCTGTGTGCTTCACCAGGCCCTGGTATTCACTAAATGAAACAAAAGCCAAAGCAGTAAGAATTTCCAACAGGCAGGTAGGGGCCTTATGGCATGGCTCCCTCACACTTTCTTTTTGTTGTTAAAAGAAAGACAGGCTGAAACAAAAGTCTTTTTTATAGGGCAACCAAGCGCATTTCATAAAAGAATGGTTTGGTATTTTCTCTGTGAGTTCTCTATCCCTTTCCTGAACTGCATAAGCTTGCAAAATAAAATGTACCCAGAATTCAGAAAATGTGAGAGTAGGGGAAAAGCCTACTTCATCCCCTCATTTTTATATGTCAACTGTTAAAAAAAAAGATAAGCACCAAGGAGGGAGCAGTAAACAAGACATGACTGCGTTCCTTACCAACCATCAAGCAAACTGCCCAGATAATATTTAATTCTGATTGTGACGAAGATAGTAGAGGTGGCCTTGAAAGAGAAGGCAGGTTACCCAATTGGGCCTAGTGATTCTGAAAAGCCTTCTGAGTCAGCAGCAAAGGCTTTTATGTTTCTACTCATTCTCCTCTAGTATTTTTCATGTATATGCCTTTGTACATAACTGTGTATACACATTTGAGGCCAGGCGAATAACTGAACATTAAGATTCAATAAACATCATGAAATCCCTTTCCAAAAAGACCAAACACTCTTCCAGTAATGAATGAGAAAACATTTCATTTGAGTTCTCAGCAATGATCACGGAAGAAAATGACTCACTGCGGAGTTAATTTACCATTTGATTAATGGCAAGATGAATGCTCTTTCAGGTTTCTTTACAAGTTAACATAATCTCAATTTCTTCATCCATATACAGGTAATATTTATTGTAAAAAATCCAAAGATTATTGTATTTGGCAACCCAAGGAGAGCCTCCTCCTGTGATCACCATACCAACAGATCCATTATTTACTATATGTTCCTCCAATCTTTTCCTATACAATATTTGAACAAATTTTTTAGTGTTATATACACCTTTTTGCACAAGAGTTAGAGAGTGGGCATAAAAATAATGTAAGCACAGAGTATATTAATCTGGTGCTGGACTTACATACCTTGCCCCTGGCTTGATCTCTTTCTTCTGCTAAAGGGTCTTTATAGCCCATGGTGGCCTTGAAATGGCTGCAACTCTCCTGCCTTCGCACCCTGGATACTATGACTACAGGCATGTACTTCTGTGCCCATCTCTAAGGCTCTTTATATAATTTATATCACACCAAACAGTAGCTGATACACAACAAGTATTCTATTAATGTGTGATTTTTCACTTTAAAGAAAGTTTTAACTGAATTTTTGTTTCAAATGAAAAATTTTAAAGTCAAAGAGGGTAAAATGAAAAAGTGAAGCACACAGAAAGCTATTTCTGGGCTAATACAGCAAAACTAGGAATTTCTTCTGGAACAATGACAATGAGCATTTTGTTGTTTATGGAAAAGTAGTTCAGATTGTTAGTCAACTGTTGGTTAGTTTTCTTAGTGCTTTTATTGTTCTCCATCCATCGTTGCCAATGAAAGCTGCATTACTTGAGTGTTCAGTATCTCTAGGTAGCACAATAGTTCAAGGGGGCAGAGACTCACATCACATTTAGGAAAGAAAAGGCAGTTCTGCTCAGAGCAGTTAACAGCTATTTTCCAAATCATAGACCTCTGATATGCTCATTGGGCTGCCTAATAGACTGGAAGTTCTTCAGAAGCACAGGTGGAAGTGCGCAAGGTAGAGCTAGGCTCCCGGGATCCAGGCTCGGTGGAGAACACAAAGCCTCAGCCAAGCATCCCGGGGCAAACATCCCCGGCAGCGCTTTACGCGCGCTTCACACCGGGATAAATGATGCCCGCCCCCCTTCCTCCCCGGGCTGCCTAAGACAATGGGACTTCGGCCGCAGAATTAACTACCGTCTCTACCTTTCCCTCCCGCCCACCCTCCAAAGGCACCTGCAAACACGTGGGTAAAAACGATCCCAGAAAAGAGGGAAGTAGTGGGATTTGTCCTTTTCGCAGGGAGAGCCCCTCCTGCGCGCCGAGTCTAGACCGTATGGAGCTCGGCGCTGGAACTGCGGGCCGCGCGAGTGCCAAGCAGAACCGCCCGGCCGCTCGGCTCAGCAGCCAGAGCCCCGGGCGCGGCGCCGGGCACACCAGCCGCAGGGACGCCGGTCCCGCCGTCACCCGCCGCCACACTCACAAGGTGTCCAGCAGCAGCTTAGCGGCGCCCTCGAAGCTAAGCCGCTGCCGCTTCTGGAACGTCTCCCAGCGCTCCCGCTGCTCTCCCAGGTCGAGCGCCGACATGGAGGACGAGGAGGTCGGCAGCGGCAGCTCGGCCGGTGGCGGCTCCTCGGCCCCCGCCTCCTGGGCCCGCGGCGGCG